CAAATCCCAAAAAAGTTGGGACAAGTAGCAATAAGTGGCTGGAAAAAAGGAAATTGAGCATATAACGAACAGCTGGAAGACCATCCATCCATCCATCCATCCATCCATTATCTTTACCCGTTTAATCCATTTTGGGTCACGGGAGTCGCTGGTGCCCATGTCCAGCAATCACTGTGCGAGGGGCGGGGTACACCCTGGACGGGTCGCAAGTCCATCACAGGGCCACATAGAGACAAACGAGACAAACAAACATTCACTCTCTCATTCACACCTAGGGACAATTTAGAGTTACCAATCAGCCTAACATGCATGTTTTTTGTCTGTGGGAGGAAACCGGAGCACCAGGAGAAAACCCACGCATGCACGGAGAGAACATGCAAACTCCACCCAGAAAGACCCCTGGACCGAGGTTTGAACCAAGGACCTGCTCGCTGAGAGGCAGCAGCTCTACCAGTTGCGCCACCGTGCTGCCATGTAGTGACATTGAGGTTGAATTATTAGTTAGTTATTGCCAGTTTGTACAGTGTTATTTATCAAGAGTTCAGTAATCTGTCAGCTTGTGGGTAATAGCTGTCCTTTAGTGTTTTTGTACACGATGGCAGACTCCTGTATCGTCTGCCTGAGGGTAGTAGACGCAAGAGTCCTTGTGCTGGGTGGGTGTGGTCCTTAATGATGATGCATGCTTTACACAGACATCGGCTGTGGTAGATGTCCTGGATGGTGTGGAGACTGCTACCAGTGATGTCCTCTGCTCTTTGCACCACCCTCTGTAAAGCTTTCTGGCTCTGACTTGTTCAGTTCCCGTACCACCTTGTGATACAGCCTGTCAGCAGGCTCTCAATGGTGCATCTATAAAAGTTGGTGAAGATGCTGGTGTTTGTACTGTAGTATGACAATATATGAGATATATATGCATACAATATTCACGAGTTCCTCATCTTTCTGACTGTGTAATGTCGTGCATTGAATTTAACAGAAATGTAACGAGAGACGTTATTTATCTTTGACCCATCAAAATGAATGCGGTCATTTATTTTCAGAATCAAAGTTTAACATCAAACATTTACATTAATTTGGCAAAATATGAAAATAATAACAGACAAGTTTCACAGAAAATGAACTTCGAATCACTCGGCGGTGATCGAGGACTTTGCTTCAGATATTCCTAAGATATCTGTACTGATTTTAGAAGAGAGAGAAGAGTTTAAGATGAAATGGAGATTTATCTTACAGAGAGATATGTGAGGGAATTAATCTGTTTGTCCAGAACGTGCACGCTTCATCAGATCTCAGCTTGCCTCCGGTACACTTTAGTCGAAGAGGAGACTGTTACCTGGTTGACGTAGATCAGCTCGATAGAGAATCCTCCAGACTTTTTCAGCGTCTCCGTTGAGAGCAGCTGAAATCCTTAGATAGTCGTGTGTGGTTTGTTCAAACAGAAGTTATAATCCCAAAACGTCTCTGGATCATCCTGAACGCGTTTGCACCCAAGAACTCTGAACTCCTTTCATTCTTCAGAACTTCTCAGACTCTAACAGAATCTTTCAACTCCAGCAACTCTGTAGTTCTTCATCTCCTCAGGCTCTGGAATTCTCTGGAATTCTCCTGAATTCTAACATGAACTGGGAAGTTGCCACATTTTAAATGGGTCGACTTCCGGTTCATTTGAGAGCTTTTGATTGGTCGATGGACCAGGAATAGAGGTGTGGTGTATGATGTAAGATGTTATTAAAAGTCAAGGATTGTTTAGTAACAAACAGAAAGATTATTGTAGGACTTCAGACTTCGTGGAGTCTCACACTTATAATCTTCTGCAAAAGTTTAAACATGACATCTTTCTCGGTAAACATTTTAGTTGACCGAAAACCGACCTTTCACATACTTACAAAACTTGGCTCATTTCAGACAGAAAATCAAGAAATGCATATTAACCTGATTTCTTCTTTAAATGAGGAATAAAAATCATTACTTACTGTTTATGTAAAATAAAAATGAGTAGTTCTCTTCAACCTGTAACATTGAGTGAACTAACACAATTTGATTATCAAACATTTGTAAAACAGTGATGATTATAAAAATTGTCTTTTCTTCTTGATTAATTCAAGAAAGAAAGTCACCAGATGGCTCAGACTGTATTCAGATCAATGAAATAACAGTCCCTGTCCATCTGATAGATTTGAGGTCATCTGGGTCAGATCAGGGTCAGATCAGGTTCACTACAGTACCAAAATTCTTTCCAGAAGAGCAGTTCCAGTACCTCCAGCATGAACCTCCATGGACACCCAGACTGGAGGTGAAGGATCCAAATGAAAGTGCTACCAGTGAAGCAGTCCTCGGATGTTAGCTGCCCAGTAGTAATTTTGAAAGTTGGGCAAGGCTATTCCACCTGACTGTTTAGGTCTTTGAAGGAATGCTTTTTTTTTTAATCTGGGGTGTTTACCATTCCAAATAATAGGTGAGGGACCAGACAAACTGCAGCCCAAAGACCCCGACGATGAGACAAATAAATGGACCTAGTGTTCCCTTGCCCGGACGTGGGTCACCGGGGGCCCACTCTGGAGCCAGGCCTGAAGGTGGGGCACGTGGGCGAGCGCCTGGTAGCCAGGCTTTTACCCATGGAGCTCGGCCGGGCACAGCCCGAAGAGGAGACGTGGGTCCCCCTTCCCATGGGCTCACCACCTGTGGGAGGGGCCAAAGGGGTCGGGTGCAATGTGGGATGGGTGGTGGCTGAGGGCGGGGACCCTGGCGGTCTGATCCTCCGCTACAGAAGCTGGCTATTGGGACGTGGAATGTCATCTCACTGGCGGGGAAGGAGCCTGAGCTGGTGTGTGAGGCTGAGAGGTTCCGGATAGAAGTAGTTGGACTCACCTCTACGCATGGCTCGGGCTCTGGAACCAGTTTCCTTGAGAGGGGCTGGACACTTTTCCACTCTGGAGTTGCCCCTGGTGAGAGGCGCCGAGCAGGAGTGGGCATACTCATTGCCCCCCAACTTGGTGCATGTGTGTTGGGGTTCACCCCAGTGGATGAGAGGGTGGCCTCCCTCCGCCTACATGTGGGGGGACGGGTTCTGACTTTCGTTTGTGCTTATGTACCAAACGGCAGTTCAGATTATCCACCCTTTCTGGAGTCCTTGGAGGGGGTACTGGAAAGTGCACCTCCTGGGGACTCCCTTGTTCTGCTGGGGGACTTCAATGCTCATGTGGGCAATGACAGTGAGACCTGGAGGGGTGTGGTTGGGAGGAACGCCCCCCCCCCCCGATCTGAACCAGAGTGGTGTTCTGTTGTTAGACTTCTGTGCTGTTGTTAGACTTCTGTGCTCGTCATGGATTGTCAATAACGAACACCTTGTTCAAGCATAAGGTTGTCCATATGTGCTCTTGGCACCAGGACACCATAGGCAGCAGTTCGATGATCGACTTTGTCATGGTCTCATCTGATCTGCAGCCACATGTCTTGGACACTCATGTGAAGAGAGGGGCAGAGCTGTCCACTGATCACTACCTGGTGGTGAGTTGGCTCTGATGGTGGGGGAGGATGCCGGTCAGACCTGGCAGACCCAAACGTATTGTGAGGGTTTGCTGGGAACGTCTGGCAGAGTCTCCTGTGAGACGGAGTTTTAACTCCCACCTCCTAGAGAACTTTGAACATGTTCTGAGGGAGGTGGGGGACATTGAGTCTGAGTGGACCATGTTTCGTGCCTCTATTGTCGAGGCGGCTTACCAGAGCTGCGGCCGCAAGGTTGTCGGTGCCTGTCACGGCGGCAACCCTCAAACCCGATAGTAGACACCGTCGGTGAGGGATGCTGTCAGGCTGAAGAAGGAGTCCTATCGGGCCTTTTTGGCCTGTGGGACCCC